ACACTTATTTGCTGAAGTATGCATCAAGTTATGAAATACTTGTAATATCCCTAAATTGTGAACCGATCTGTAGTATATTATGAGTTGCTCATTTAGATACGTATCTTTATTTTTGCGTCTTTGGGCAATATTGTGGAAATTGCATTCCAAAGCGTTTACCGTCGTAATTGAATTTCATCATAATTGAATGTGCCTATGACAAAAGGATTAGATCATATAGGTTGTAAACGTGAATATGTTCATTAACGTAAGACAGTAAGAAACATTCCACACTTCATTTATCACGAGGAAATATATGTATAAAGCAACATTATGCAGAGAGAGAGCAGGTAACTCGTCCAATGCAAGCAGACCTGCAGTTGATCTGATCAAAGTTCCCAACGGCATTAAACTGACTCACTAAATTGCCCGAACCTAATTTAGCCGATGACCCTCCAATCGAAAAAGAGGTTTCACGTCGATTTTGCAAGCCGCTATGATTATTAGTATAGGGGGAGGCACACGCGTGAATTTTAAGCGAGGCTACATCGGTCTAAATTAACCCCTGAGTCACCACAGTGACCGGCATATGATTATAACCTTGTCCTACACAGCCATCGTCGAGCCAGCCGTCTTCCTCTCACTGGATTATTAATCTTCACTCTGTGTGGTGTGAGAATTAATTTACCTGTAGTTTGTATCGTTTGAATCAGAAAAACAAGATTCCAGCAGGATATACGCAGCCACTTACGAAACCTGTACATTTTTCATCAATCAAGGCGGCTTTAATACACACAGAAATCACAATAGCGTGATATATCAAATGAATAAAGACTAACGCGTGTCTGGGATCATCCCAGGCGTAGGTTCGAACCCTCATCACGGCCCTTGTGGATTTGTTCATGGCGGCTTTGTTTACATGCATTAAACAGTTCATGAATTCCAAAGCGCCATACGAGATTGTTTATAATAACAATAACTCTTGTAAAGTTTCGGAGCTGGTAAACTTTTTAATAAACGTGAACAAAGCCGCCATGATTAAAAAAAATGGAAACGGCTCGCGAAAATGACATACTGTCCCATTTTCTGTCTTCGGTCCTCTGGTAGGTTAGGATAAGGACACTTTACACTGACCGTTGTGAATTACATTGTACAGGTTTCGTAAATGGTTATGTAAAAAAGCTTAATAAATCATGGAGAGGGGGGGGTGGGGGGTGGGTGTTGGGCTGTAGTTGCCAGTCATGATACAATGATCTATAAACCCATCACGGAGACATGACTCAATCACATACTCGTACGTATCAGCGATTAACGTGTTCCATGCTATTTATAACCCATATCGCTTATATCCCCCTATCGCTTCCTCCATTGATCTTGTATTATACAGAATATGGTACATAAACCAAAAGACAAAGTTAGCCATTGGGTGAGCCAGCGTGTGGAGGGAGCAGGAGACCCTCAGTGAGACCACAAGTACCAATGACATTTCTGGCCGGCCCGTGATTCATATGTCAGTCTTAACTGGGCGGTGGAGAGGGGGGTGACGGGTGACCAAGATGAGAGTAATGTACAGTACCACTGTATGTATGTATGTATGTATGTATGTATGTATGTATGTATGTATGTATGTATGTGTGTGTGTCTCGCTAGCGTGCATGACTGGTGCGTGTGTGACTGTCCTCAGGCGCCACCCTGGGCGGGACAGGTACAGCAAGACAAGGAAGAGTATATATCATTTGGCAAACAAAGAAGCTCGTCCTGCTAAGGTTTCTTAACTTCAAGAACACGGCCAATTTAAAGTGCTCCTTATCCTAAGCTACCAGAGGACCCAAAACAGAAAAAGGGGCAGTACGTCACATTCGCGAGCCTCAGGCTCAATCTCTCTTGAAGGAGATTATCATCACAAAATATATATATATATATATATATATATATATATATATATATATATATATATATATATATATTTTGATGATAATCTCCTTCAAGAGAGATTGAGCCTGCTCTTCCCTCCTAAGTTCGTCGCTATACATCCCTATACAACTAATATGGAAGAAATATCCAACAAATACAACACCAAGGTTTGCCAGAGAGCAAAGGTATTCAGCACCAGGAACACCTGCTCCCCCCCCCGCCACTCGAACCACCAAACTACCTGTCCGTCGCCTGCTCATCGCTGATTGGCCGGTGGTCAGTCGCACCTGCTTCCCCACCGCCACACTAGTTGATGTCTGGGGCCACCACGACCTTAGACCTCAGAATATCCAGTGTTTTCAACAAGTTAACACGTCTCGTTGGTAGACTAAGCTCTGGCTTACGTGTACTAAGAGAGGTGGCAGCTTAAAGCCAATATTCCTGCACCTATATATCTGATTGTTTATTGTTCACTTGTTATTACTCACTTATCTTAACGTAACTTTTCATTTTGTCATTTGATTATTCTTATTATTTTGATTGATTGATTTTATGATACGAATTTTATGTCCATTTTGTTCATGTTTTGCTTTTCTAACGTAATTAAAATCTCATTGTTAAATTTACTAGTGTTTTGTGTGTCTGTCTTCCCATTACCTTACCACAGACGAAGTTCCAGATTTTCTTTTTTTTGTTTCTTTGTGACGAGGCCATACCCCTAGCTTTTGAAACAGCCGAACACCAACGCGTTACCGTCACTATATATATATATATATATATATGTCGTACCTAGTAGCCAGAACTCACTTCTCAGCCTACTATTCAAGGCCCGATTTGCCTAATAAGCCAAGTTTTCCTGAATTAATATATTTACTATAATTTTTTTCTTATGAAATGATAAACCAACCCTTTTCTCTATGTATGAGGTCAATTTTTTTTATTGGAGGTAAAATTAACGTAGATATATGACCGAACCTAACCAACCCTACCTAACCTAACCTAACCTATATTTATAGGTAAGGTTAGGTTAGGTAGCCAAAAAAAGCTAGGTTAGGTTAGGTTAGGTAGGTTAGGTAGACGAAAAAACATTAATTCATGAAAACTTGGCTTATTAGGCAAATTAGGCCTTGAATAGTAGGCTGAGAAGTGCGTTCTGGCTATTAGGTACGACATATATATATATATATATATATATATATATATATATATATATATATATATATATATATATATATATAATCTCATGCTATATATAGCATACGAAACATCAATATATGAAAAATATTGATGCCCAAATAAGATAATTTTACCTGGCTACTGGAAAAACTATCTTATTTGGAATTTGTCAAACGTCTTCCTTTTATTCCGGCGTTCTTTTCCAGATGAATTATAAACTGGAGAATTGTCAAAATATATACGTCATACATTGTGGCTTGTTGAGCTTGAAGCTGCTGCAGCATATGTGACTATTTGAGCTTGTATCATATGCAGAGGTTTAGTGTGCTCCTGGATTTGTTTATCCTAAACTCATTTTTTATGACATCATGGGAAACGAAACAAGAATTTTCCTAAAATCCGGATGTTTACCATTACACACGGAAAATTTGTTGAGTTGAGAGAGAAGAGAGAGAGAGAGAAAATGGTTAGGGTTGAGGCACAGAAGTTAAGATAGAAGGCTTTTTAGTGCTAGGATATCAGGCCCCGGGCCTACCGACTCCATCACTCAAAATGCCACAACTCCAGTGTCACCGTCACATCAACTCCAGTGACACAATGTTCCGCTCCACCCTGCACTTTCAGCCACCTTCCTCCTCCTCTTCCTAATTGTTCCATTGCAACATCTAATTTCCTCTCCTCTCACCCACTGAAACCGATACTCTGGATTCTTATTAGATCTTTGGTAACTAAATTCAAGTAAAGCTCTATGCGTGTGGGTGTGTACTCACCTAGATGTGCTTGCGGGGGTTGGGCTCTGGCTCTTTGGGCCCGCTTCTCAACTGACAATCAATCAACTGATTTTTTTTCTTCTCCCGCACGCACACATCCCCATGAAGCAGCCCGTAGCAACTGTCTAACTCCCAGGTACCTATTTACTGCTTAGTGAATTTACAGGGTGAAAGAAACTCTGCCCATTTGTTTCCGCCATCGCCGGGGATCGATCCCTGGACCCTAGGATTACGAATTACGAGCGCTGTCCACTCAGCCACCAGGTGTGTGTGTGTGTGTGTGTTCTCCCACCTCGTTGTACTCACGTGTACACACACACTGTGGGTGTGTGTGTGTGTGTGTGTATGGTTCACTTCTTAAACCCATTAATTATGATATATAAAACGGTGGATATCTACATTAAACTATATGTAACTATAGCTTAACAAGATTAGTTAACTTCCTAATGTCAAATGAATAGTCACCAACAGAATCTAACCTAACCTTTGCCTAACTTTACATAAAACTTTAATGAACAACAATGTTCATTTGCATACGAAAACAAACCTATTTTAAATACACAATAAGTTAAAAGTGACGAATGCGTCTCGGGTGAAGACCTTCGCCGCTTTAACGAGCCTGGCCTAAGGACAAGTTGCCAAATACTTTATGTAGAGATTTTGTCGTGAGTATTTGACTTACCTGTTGTGAACCTCACAACCTCTTTGATGATGGGCTAAATTTTATATAGAATCCCAGCCTGGCTCGATCACTATAACTGTAAGTGTCTGATATGTTGATTAATCCCTTCCTGTGCCACCATACCGCTTTGGTACTCCAGTTAATGGGCCTTTCCTGCTGGGATGTGACGATCACTGTCCTTCCCTGTCCTAGCACAGCTAACTTGGCAGGTTAAATGCCATTTAATTAAAAGTCCTTAAGTTTCCTCCGATCTCCATATGTTTTCGTTGTCGTATGTATACCTGAATTATGAGAGCTAAGGTATGTGCTAATATTTTGTTAGGTACAAACTGAATTCACTGAAATCAATACTTTTATTGCTACGTCTTATCCGGCTTCATTGTCTTAGATGTTTAATATCCTTTATTAACATGTTAAGAAATGTGTGTATAAAGACGAAGACAAAGCCATTAGCGGGACCTGAGGCGAACAATATATGACGTCAGTGACTGGGTTAACATGGCGGCGGTGCGGTGGAGTGTTGTGTTCGTCCTCACATTTTTAGTCGTTTACGCTCTAAATACGTCAAGTGCGCATATAAGTGGTGAGTAAAGTGACGCCAAAGGACCACATCTTGGCGTTCCCGGGGCGAGAAACCCTGGGAGCGTGGCGTGACTGGTGTTAGGAGTGGAATCCTCTTGAGTGCGTTGTGTTTCCTGAAGGGGGCGAGGGGGTATACCTGTTAACCACACCTTGTGACCTTCCCTGCCTGGCCTGGGGCCCCCCTACCACCTCACCCTCCACCGTCATGCTCACGGCAGCGTCTCCTTCAGGTCCTCTTACACCGCGTCTTAAGGCACCCCCAAGATATGGGAGGGCGGAAGGTGTTACTGGAGACATTGGCGTGAGAGGTCGGCTGGAACTGGCCTCTCCATCCAGCATGTTTATTTATTTATATATTTATTTATATATTTATTTACAAGAAGGGGCATTGGGTTTATGAGAGCACAGAGCATTGATGTTTGTACATTGTTGTAAATTTTCAACTTCAGCGTTTCGGGCAGAGTATTGTGAATGTCATGAATACATTCTAACTCGCCTCTGTCACTCGAAATATTTGCTAGGAACTAATTAGAGTATTGAAGTTACAAATCATCCTTGGCCAAACACTTCTATAAATGATTAGTTTGGAAGATATATATCATTTAGCAGCCAACCAGTCTGAATATCAGTAAGCAATATCACGTTATTTTTTATATCACTATAGTGTAAAACAATTGATTTGAATTGTTTGAAAAAAAGTTTGAGTTTTATAATGTTAAATTTTCAGCAAAAGACTTGAGTTTTATTAATGCAGTAATCTGGGCCAGTCAGAAATGGTTGGAGAAGTCTCTTGACCTCTAACCCAGCTGTTCACCTGATTGGTACCAGGAGTTAGTCACCTTATTTTGAGGGGTTGCATGGTGTCTGTGACTGTGTCTGTCCTATTTGGTGGACAGTAACAATATGCAGTGATGGACCACCAGAAAGTTGACTTTTGCATTATTGAAGTTGGACAAACTGGAAACTTTTAAATATAATATAAATATAAGATATAACCCTTCTTTATATATAATATAGATATATATATAATATAGATATAGATATATATATATAATATAGATATAGATATATATATATATAATATAGATATAGATATATATATAATATAGATATAGATATATATATAATATAGATATAGATATATATATAATATAGATATAGATATATATATAATATAGATATAGATATATATATAATATAGATATAGATATATATATAATATAGATATATATATAATATAGATATAGATATATATATAATATAGATATAGATATATATATAATATAGATATAGATATATATATAATATAGATATAGATATATATATAATATAGATATATATATATAATATAGATATAGATATATATATATATATAATATAGATATAGATATATATATATAATATAGATATAGATATATATATATATAATATAGATATAGATATATATATATATATATAATATAGATATATATATATATAATATAGATATAGATATATATAATATAGATATAGATATATATATATATATATAATATAGATATAGATATATATATATAATATATAGATATATATATATATATAATATAGATATAGATATATATATATATAAATAGATATAGATATATATATATATATAATATAGATATAGATATATATATATATAATATAGATATAGATATATATATATATAATATAGATATAGATATATATATATATAGATATAGATATATATATATAATATAGATATAGATATATATATATATAATATAGATATAGATATATATATATATAATATATATATATATATATATATATATATATATATATATATATATATATAATATAGATATATATATATATATATATAATATAGATATAGATATATATATATATAATATAGATATAGATATATATATATAATATAGATATAGATATATATATATATATATATAGATATATATATATATATATATAATATAGATATAGATATATATATATATATAATATAGATATAGATATATATATATATATAATATAGATATAGATATATATATATAATATAGATATAGATATATATATATATATATATAATATAGATATAGATATATATATATATAATATAGATATAGATATATATATATATATAATATAGATATAGATATATATATATATATATAATATAGATATAGATATATATATAATATAGATGTTGTATGACCCACATACAACACATAACTAAGAAAGTCTCTAAAACAGTTGGTATACTCTCCAAAATCAGATATTATGTTCCTAACTCTGCTCTCATCTCTCTATATTATGCACTAATCTATCCCTATCTCAACTATGGTATCTGTGCATGGGGTTCAACCACTGCAAACCACCTCAAGTCCATCATCACCCAGCAAAAATCTGCTATCAGAATAATATCAAATTCTGCTTTCAGACAACACACAGCCCCCTTGTTTAACTCCCTAAACATGCTAAACATAATCTCACTCCACAAATTCTCTTGTGTCAACTACATTTACAAAACCCTGTTCTTAAATGCAAATCCTTGTCTGAAACTCTTCTTGGACAGATGTAATAGGACCCATTATCACCACACCAGAAATAAATATCTCTTTGATATCCCCAGAGTTAAACTTAATCTGTGTAAACACTCTATGCAAATAAAGGGACCCAGTTTATGGAACTCACTCCCTACTGAATTGAAAAGCTGTCCAACTTTTACATCATTCAAAATCAATACTAAAAAGTACCTAATTTCATCTTCATAGTTTTTCACTTTTTGCCTTAAAATTGCACTGTATCAATTGCTACCCAATCTCCCAACCTTTATGTTCCCAATTTGAACATCTTTACCATTGTGATCATTGCTGTTTTCTTATATGTGCTGCCAATCTGTTATATGGTGTTTATAAATCTTGTTTATCTGTATCTTTTGCTACCCAGTCTCCCAATCTTTATGTACCCAATCTGAACATCTTTACCATTGTGATCATTGCTGTCTTATATGTGCTGTCAGTCTGCTGTATGGTGTCTATTAACCTTGTTTAAATTACTAATCAAGCTGTCAATGTAATCAATCAGAGCTTTAATATAACAATATGCTTTAATATACCTACTTATCTCTCTCATCTCATTTTTCTCTTGTAATGTATCTTTATCATTTATCAATTCTGATTGAAATTACCTACTTAAAATTATCTGCTAGATTAAGGACCTGCCCGAAACGCTGTGCGTACTAGTGGCTTTACAAGAATGTAAATACTGTACTATCCAATATATTCTCACAAACCCAATGTACCTTCTTGTATATATATAAATAAATAAATAAATAAAATATAGATATATATATAATATAGATATAGATATATATATAATATAGATATAGATATATAGATATATATATAATATAGATATAGATATAATATAGATATAGATAGATATATATATATAATATAGATATAGATATATATATATAGATATATATATATATATATATATATATATATATATATATATATATATATATATATATATATATATATATATATATATATATATATATATATATATATAATACATGTGATGGGAGCAAGTCATGTACAGTATCTCAAAAAACATTTACTGTTACTGCATAAAATATTGGAAACACTTTTTTTCAGATGCAGATTACAACACATATACGATTTATGATGGAAATTTAGAAGAATTGGAACGGAGACAAATCCAGCCTCTGCTACGGTTTAGACGAAGTGATCTAGGTACTGGCAATGAGAACTCTAAAACGGAGGTGAGATTGTATTGTTACTTTAATCTGCTTGTTTCTTTTTTTTGTATGCATGAATTGTGAAATTCTTTGTGCAGATATTTGGCTTTTAACCCTTAAACTGTGCAAAATGTCATTTGATGTGTGACATTGAAGGGGGTATAATTTGAAAAATATTCAAATTATGTAAAAATTAATTAAAATTGTTAAACAAATCTCCAACTTATTGGCTTCAGCTTCGTGAAACTTTCATCAAAATATTTTCAGAAATTGATTTTAGACAAATATTTAAAAAAAAAGAATGAATGTTTTGTTGATAAAGAGAACAGCTCCTATTAACTGGAACTGATGGATAATGCAATAATAAAGAGATGCAAGCACCTGTCTGACACACAAAAAAGAAGAAGAATAGTAGTAAAAAGTGTCCACAAAGTGGATATACAGCTGGTGCCTTTATAGCATTGCTGAGTAATCCATAATAACTCAAATAATAATGAGTAATTATGTTATGCTCTATTTTGTTATATATCATATAAATACATTGGCCAATGATATTATCAGTTACTTTCAACAATATCCAAAAAATATTTTTTTAGGGGAATTTTTTTTTTTTCTGTATTTGAATTTGTTTTAACCTTTACATCCTGGAGAATGCATACTCGTCTCTAACTATGTGAAGGCAGAATTAAATTGGTCAACAAATAAATTAGTTGTAATTAATAATTCAATTGGTCAACAAACATTAATTACAACTCTCAGACCTTGGGACTGAATTTTGTTTGGTTGATTTTTTTCAGATTTCAAACTCTATTTTCCTTGTTGGTTGTTTTCATGATTAGGGACCAGATTAGGGCTTTTTTACTTATATAAAGTATACCCTAAATATATTCCCTAAATCATTATAATTATCCCTATATATTTTTTTTTTGGGGGGGGGGGATATTTTTTCTTGACTTCATTTCTACACACATTGACCTACAACTTTCACATACTAGAGTACAATTGCCAAACAATGTTTATTACAACATACAAGTAAATTCATGAATTAGAACTGCCTTATTCATTGTCAATAACTTCAACTTCAATTATATCTATAACTAGAATTTCAACTTCAGTATCCAAAAATCAAGTTTCTGACCGATTCTCACCATTTTTACATATAGTGTGCACAGCTGTCTGTTCTACAATCCCTATAGAATTGATTTTTCATAAACTCTAAACGTTTGGAGTTATAAATTTGTGTTGTCTAAATTTGTGCATATTTCAAATGCCATATTGACAGTTTTTTCTACAGTACACTACAGTACTGTATACTGAAAACCTATATTGTAAATATATGAAAATGAAGATCATATGCTATTCTGAGAGCATAATAACACCAAAGTTTTTCAAGTTACACTGGTATCATTTAGACAAAGTTGAAGCATTTGCCTAGTAGATTATGAACAAAACATTTGAAAGAGCTTCAGAAAATTTTAAAAACTGAGTTCAATGTCACACACACAACATTTTATGCAGTTAAAGGGTTAATGATTAAAGTCCAGCATTTCTCAGCCTTTGTACCCCCTGAAATAATTTGGAGTTATTTAAATGAAAACTGATTTCATTAACTGAAATGAGACAATTTCTGTTTGCTTTTGATACTGGTTAAATGAGAAAAATTAAACACAAAAATGAATCAAATACATTTACATGTGATTAGAATTAGCCTGTTCATCACTGTAGCGTATCTCGTGCGGAACCCCCAAGTTACCTCAGGGTTCCGTGAAACCCCAAATTAAGAAATGCTGGTTAGATGTACTGTAGCACGAAGTGTCCAATAAATAAATGTTCATATTTTATTTGTCATTGCGTTTAGTTGACTTCTACTTTTAGTTGACTTTCTTTCATCACAGAGTTGGTATTAAGTACAAAGCTGTATAGTTTAGCTTCAACTACTCAGTGTTTTGGGCATGTTAGTCAGAATTTTTTAATGTTTGCAAGTCAAAATCATTGAAAAAATTATTTTACAGTATTTTTATATTTTGCTCTTTAAAAAATGCATGTGTCAAAAGCAAATGTTAGTTCTGAAGTAAGATAAAAATATATTAAATATTCTGTAGCTATAGCAAAAAACTTCAACTAAATATTTTACATTTCAAAATACAAAACTAATCCAGTTAGATCATTTTCTGTTTGCCATTATTGTAACAGTACTGTAGCTCCTAATTTGTGGTAATGATGTGAAACTGGAAAGATGCGTTACTGGAGAGCCCTTGGGAAACTATATATGAGTAAACAAGAAGTTTTATTTTTGTAAATTGCAGTACAGTATAGTACTGTAATGTAAAGTACAATTGTGTGTGTGTTTTGAAATGTCAAAAGAAAAACTTTGCCCTCAAAATGTGGATCTGATTAAACTGATTTAACGTAACATTATGTATCAATAATATTAATATTAACATTAATTATATAACAGTAATGTAACATTAAGGGGAAATTTTTTTTTACTTGTTTTTTCTTATGAAATGATAGATCTGTATTCAAAAGGATGAAAATACACAATGAATCATATATCTACTCTTATTTTGCCCTGGGTATTAGCCAACATTTCTGAAATTTATGATATTCATATGTCAGCATCACGTGAGCCAGAAAAAGAATATGTACAGTACATATACAGTACATAATATACAGTACATATATACAGTATTTTTATTTTTCATCTGAAATTTATTCAGAAGTAATCATTCTTAATACAAAAGTAAAAAGTATTGAAACACTAATACATATCTGATGATCCTTTGTGGCATCGCACACGACAAGCATCCCTCTGGATTTATTTGAGCTTTTCTTTGGGTTTTTAGTGGTTTTGTGACTACAATTTGTAACACATGATGTCTCTAAAGAAGCTGCTTGCTAAAGATAGTGTTGTCAAGAGGAAGAAACACACAATTACTGTGGATTTGAAGAAGGAAATTATAGCAAAGCATGAGTGTGGTGTCTGTGTGACTGATCTCACAAGGGAGTATGGCAGGTCCTCATCAACAATTTACACTATTAGTAAGGGAATGAGGAGGTAAGGGAGGATGCTGCCTCTTCCACTGAATTCAGGGAAGTGTTTGGAATGTTTGAAAGGTGAACGCATTCTTGGAAAAGCTGCCCTGATAAAGCAGTGACAACCCGGTGTGTGAAAATGGTTAATTAATTTATCACTTTGTGATAACACTTTATGAAAGTGTTATCACTTTCGCAGGTATATGTCGCTTGAACGTGACACACTTTCTCTTGAATGCACCCAAACACCGCACTCAAGCGTCATTTGAGCAAATATTTCTATAAAATCCAATTCTTATCCGATCGTCTTGGGGATTGTATACATGTTTGCCATGAAATTTCCGTTTCTTTAATAACCACATTGCCTATTTGAGAAAACGGCATTGTATTGTAGCTTCGTGGTAAGACTATTATATTGTTGACACGAGTGTAATCGACGTAGTTTTTTATTTGGTGCTGGTCTAACGCATCTTTGTGTAACATTTGAAATGAAATTTGGGTGAAATTCCCAAGAAGAGAGAGTCCGCCTGACTCAGAGGTGGATTCTGCTTCCACACCATAACCCCTCTCCTCCTTCCCACCTCCCCATCGTCTCCCTCCAGCCAGCAACTACTCTTCATAAGGTAAAGTAAATATTAAAACACTACAACAAAATATTTATATTTACATGTGCAGTATTATATTTACATAAAAAAGTCATACAAGAATGGATGTTTTTGGGAGTGGAATGGATTAAATTTATTTCCTTTATTTTAAATGGGGAAATTTGTTTCTTAAGACGAGTTTTCCAGGTAACGAGCTCGGTGCCAGAACGGATTAAACTCGTTAATAGAGGTTCCACTGTATATGCAGTCATTGTCAAATGTTGTTTTGGGTCCAGGAGTTGAAGCCTGTCTGACTGCAAATTATTTTATGGCCTTCCATAACTGCTAGGAGACACCATTTAGCTATTGGAACTATATGGGCAACAGTGTTATCCAAACACTGACGCAAGACATAGATCTTCATTTGACAATGACTGTATAGCACTAGACAAAAACACATTACAGTAGGTACTTGCACAGTTCGTGAAGATTTGGGATTTTTCAGCTGTTTGCACATTTAGAATGAGCCTGTGAGTACAAATTACTTGGTTTATTACGTGGTTCATGACTTAAATATATTATTAAATGTATTTATACTGTATTTTTTAATACTATATACTGTACCATATTAGTAATGGTACAGTATTAGAATTAATAGACGAGATGTTATTACAGTATTGACTATTTTATCAAAGGAGTTTTACTTGATAGATTTATAGTAGTATTGATAGATCAGATTATGCCTAAAAGCTATCAGAGTGCATTGCTGTGTTTGGGTTAGAGTAATTAAGCTTTACATTACAGAAGGGCATCATAGTCTAACTGCATTGTATAGTACTCATTAACTGGCTTATACGTTCTCATCCGGGTTTAGTCCTTAGGCGAGACCGAGACAGTTAAGTAAGCATATTTCCATTCGCCTGATGGCTCTGTTCACATAGCAGTAAATAGCTACCCGAGAGTTGGGTAACTATTGTTTGTTCCTGTTCAAAAGCTTCTTTCAAAAGTAGAAGAGCTTGTTGACAAATTGGTTATTTGGAACCAAATACCATGTCCTCAATGGAAATTTATAGGAATGGTTAGATGTAAGAACAGGAGAGCAACAGGGGTCAGTCTTGGAACCAGGTTTGCTCCGATTTACATTAATGATAATGGGTTATACTGTGCAGCATCAAAATTTGTTAATGACATTATACTTGAGAGAAAAGTTTTAACTTCATTACTCAAGTAAAAATGATTGCAAGCTAACCAAAACATCTTGGTTAATTAGTCTGATAAATGACAGACAAGTGATACTGTTAATCAGTATAAAGTAATAGAGATTGGAAATAAAAATGAAAAGAGAAGCTACTGGATTAATACCATTCAATTTACGAAAGTAAATTGAGAGAAACACCTGGGTGT